AAGACCCCAGACACTATTTACCAAAGTACAGTGTAGAACATTTTCTTCATGAACTATGTTATGCCAATTGAGCTAGCTCCTCTCTGAGACCATGGTCCTCACAGCCGTCAGCCCAGCAGTTTGGTCCCTCAGGGAGTTTGGATGTATCTGTAGAGCTTCCACGACCTTGCCTTGTACAGGTTGTGGTGGCTTCCCCAGTATTGTGTACTCTCTTACCCTTCACCAAAGTTACCACTTATCTATTGTCTATTTAGTGTTTTTCCACCCCCACCAGTCCCCTCCCCTCCCTTGTAACCATCAAAGATTGTTTCTTTTTGTGTGTAAACCTTTTCATGAATTTTTGTAGTAGTGGTCTCATACAATATTTGCCCTGTAGTGACTGACTTATTTCACTCAGCATAATGCCCTCCAGATTTATCCATATTGTGAGATGCTTCGCAGATTCATCATTGGTTTTATCGTTTCATAGTACTCTTTTGTGTGTATCTACCATAGTTTGTTTATCCATTGATCTGTTGATGGGTGTCTAAGTTGTTTCCATCTTTTTGCTATTCTGAACAATGCTGCAGTGAACGTGGGTGTGCATATGTTTACTCATGTGACGACTCATTTCTCTAGGATACGTTCCTAGGTGTGGGATTGCTGGATCATATGGTATTTTCTATTTCTGGCTTTCTGAGGAAGTGCCATATCGTTGTCCCAAGTGGTTGTACCATTTTGCATTCCCACCAGCAGTGCATAAGAGTTCCAGTCTCCCCGCAGCCTCTCCAGCATTTATTTTTTGTTTTTTTGATTTGTGCTGGTAATGCCGGGGTGAGATGGTATGTGATTGTGGTTTTGATTTGCTTTTCTCTAATGGCTAGTAATCTCGAGCATTTCCTCATGTCTCTGTTAGCCGCTTGAATGTCTTCTTTGATAAAGTGTCTGTTCATTTCCTTTGTCCATTTTTTAATTGGATTATTTGTCTTTTTGTTCTAGAGGTGTTGGATTTTCCTGTAGATTTTAAAGATTAGACCTTTGTCGGATTTGTAATAGCCACATTTTTTTCCCCAGTCCGTAGGTTCTCTTTTTACTTTTTTGATGAAGTCTTTTGATGAGCGTAAGTGTTTAATTTTTAGAAGACCCCAGTTATCTAGCTTCTCTTCTGGAGTTTGAGTGTTGTTAGTTATGCTTTGTATGCTGTTAATGCCATATATTAGGCCTCTAGAGTTGATCCTATTTTTTTTCTGTAATCTTTATAATTTTTGGTTTTATATTTGGGTCTTTGATCCATTTTGAATCAGTTTTTGTGTATGGTGTGAGGTAGGGGTCCTGTTTCATTTTTTTGCAGATGGACATCCAGTTTTTCCTGTACCATTTGTTAAAAAGAATGTCTGTTACCATTTGATGGACTTTGGGCTCTCATCTAAGTTCAGGTGACCATATGTGGATGGATTTTCATCTGGGTTCTCAGGCAGTACTAGGCTGTTTTGACTACCATAGCTGTATAGTAGGTTCTGAGGTCAGGTAGTGCAAGTCCTCCTACTTTATTCTTCTTCTTCAATAGTGCTTTACTTATCTGGGTCTTCTTTCTTTCCCATGTAAAGTTAATGATTAGTTTTTCCATCTCTTTAAAGAATATTGTTTGTATTTGGATCGAGATTGCATTCTATTTATAAATTGCTTTGGGTAGAATTGTCATTTTCACAATGTTGAGTCCACTTATCCATGAGCATGGTATGTTTTTCCATTTATGTAGA